CCCCCCCCCCCCCCCCCCCCCCCGTGTTTCCTTCCCCTTGCTGACAATTTGCTGGCCTGTGGCGGAACGTATGCAGGGGTAGCCTGGACACAAACATCATCGTGTGGAGCATGGCCGACTGGATGAAGCGCATCACCATCAAGGGTGCCCACCCCATGCACGACGTGACCCAGGTCGCATGGCTCGACAACACGACACTGCTCAGCGGTGGCCAAGATGCGGCCTTCCGCACCTTCTCCGTCACCCACCACTAAGATGACATTGCTTGTTTGTTTGTTTTTTCCTTTTTCGTGTATCCCTTGTGTTTCGGCGAGCATACCACCGTCAGGTGTGCGTGTGGTAACACATGCGTGCCGACAACAGAATGTTGAACAATTGGACAATTCAGAAATTCGACCACTGCCATAAATTTGATAGCTGGTAAGGCACGCCCCCGCGATCGCAGAGATGAGCAGCGGCGAGGGAGCGAAAAAAAAGCAGATTAGCGTCCTCATGCGACCTTTGTTGGTACATTGTATATTCTAAGGAGAGCTGGGGTGCTTGTCTTTGTTTTTATTCTGTGCTATAACCCGTTCATAAATGTAATCGCAATCGGATAATCGGTTTCAGCCCAGGCTGTTTGAACGGTTACACCGGTAGTAGGAACAGGATTTCCCGACGCCAAGAATTGCCCAAAAATTTGAAAATATTTTTATTTTGAGTTTTTTTTATTTATTTATTGATATGTGATTCATGTTGCAGAATGGCGGCCTTGCTTGTTGCTTGTCGTCTTGGTTTGTTTCTTTGATTACACAACCAGCATGTTGGCTTCTCAAAGCCTGTCTTCCTCATGTGACATGTCGTTGATGTGATGTGTACACATCTTCACGTTTCATCCTGGCTTCGAGGGGATGTCCAAGGGGTGGCCACATGCGAGTATCGTACTAGTATGGAAGCACTAGTCACCCCGGGCTACATGGCTACGATATTGGCCAGAGCACAGCTGCCCAGCGAGGCAAGAAAAAAAAGAAAAGCAAAGAACGTCTCATTTTTAATTTCGCACACACCATAAACATTCATCTTTTTTTTTGCTCTGGTTCACCAACCCAAGATCCTGCAAACCATAGAGGACATCTTTGAGCGTCATGTGCATGGGTCTGAGCTTAATCACGTTGTAACCTACGAGGTGACGAAGAACGAGAAGGGAGGAGAGGAGGAAAGGGTTAGCCAACAGTTGGTGAGATAAGCCAGGCAGAGTCGAACTTCTTTGGTGCTAGCATGAAGCCACGAGAGCAGGCTCCATGGAAATGCTAGCGAGGTCAGATAAATGAGGACAGGACATTGGGGTGATCCTACCTCTTGTGAATGCTCTTCTTGCCGTGCACAAAGGCCCAGTCCACAGAGAGGGTCTGGCCGAGGAGATCCTCGCCTGAGCCCTTTTCAACGGCGGCCAGCGCCTCCTCCTTGGAATCGTACTCGATCAGAGCGTAGCCCTGAGTCGAAGGCAAGGCGAGGTCAGGTACTCACACGACATATTCGGTCTTCACGTAGAAGAAAGGTGCCTGGCGGGGACCGAAAGGGGCTTGTTCCGAGCCTACCTTGACGTAACCAGTGCGGCGATCCAGATTCAAGTGCAGGTTGCGTACATCACCGTACTCTGAAAATTTATCCTATGAAAAAAGCAACCGGATTCAGACAATGATGCGTCTCAGCGTGCGTGAGTGTGAAGCCATCCAGGAACAAGCTGCTCTGGTGGCTGAGGTGCGTACCAGGACATCTTCCTCCGCGGCTTCCTCATGGATGTTGCGGGCAATGACGATCCAGCCCTCAACCGCTACGGAGCAGACAACGAAAAAAGAGAGGGGTGGCACCAACCGCCGAGACACGAGACACGAGTGAGATGAGGAAGAAAGGGAGGGGGCGCCACGCCAGGCAGATTGAGGTCGGAGCGCAGGAGCAGGAAGCCAGCTCAGTCACACGAGCACGCACAGCGCTGGGGAGCATCCGGCGAAGCATCGCCGGTTGCTGACAAGGTGTAGTGGCTGTTTGATTGCGCTGTCATAGTTTGAAGGTCGAGGCAGGCGGAGAGAGCCGGGGATCCAGGGTTAGGAAAAGGTCATGAGCGAGTGATGGCCTTGCCTGAGAAGCCTGGCTCGACCGGAGAGGTTTGCGCAGTGGGACTTGGTGCATCCACGTACATTTGAAGCCGCGGCCTTTGCGCTTGGCGTTGGGATTGGTGTTGTTGGCAGTATCCTCAGCATCGTCCATGCTGAGCGCCATCAACAAGCAGGCGGGTGAGCAGGAGAGCACGGCCTGTGCTGACATGCACATGCTGTACCCGACGAACGCTTCGGCGCTTGCTCGAGTCACGATGGAAGAACGCAGGGGCTCGAACAGTCCACACCACCTGCTCAAGCAAGCAACCATTTCAACGAGGCCAACTTACGTTTCCTCAAAGCGATCCTCAGCTGATGCCTCGATGTCGAGGACGTCTTCGTTTGCCGCTGCCATTTTGAACCGTGTCGGAGGAGGGGAAGAGGGTCAGTCGGCACAAACGGTCGCGTCCCACACAAAAGAAAAGACATCTGAACCGGGTTTAAACCTGGTCCCACTGGTCGGCCTGTTTGGAACACCTGTTTCATATTCATTTCGTTTACAACGACTGTTGTAAACGGGTGTGTGTGGACCCGTCGGCAAGCGGGCGTGATTCCCAAAGACTGCTACCAAGGGAAAGTGCCGCGCTGTAACACTGTACTACGCAGTCAGATGAAAGCAAGCCAACAGCCAATAGCACGACCGCTTGAGGGGCCTGGCTCGCTATGGCGGCAGCGCAAAGATGGCCGATGATGGCCGTGGTGGCGGTGGCGGTGGTGTGGTGTTGAGCGGAGACAAGCACACTGGACAAGGCGCTCGGCTCTGGATGCCTTGTGGGGGTCATTTGGCTGTGATCTCATTCGAGTATGCACCTTACCCTTGATTTTCAAATTGGTTGGGGGTTAGGGGTTGGCACTGCTGCCATTCATGCCCAAGAGGGAATATGGGGCGAATGACCTCTGAGGACGCGGACAGCTTGTCGTCGAGTCGAGTTGCTTTTCCAGTCGGGGTGGGGGCTAGGCCTCGGAGTGATAACGCCAAGCAATGGTTCGAAAGCCTAATTGCTTTGGGGTTAGGCCTAACCCTAATTGGCCAGTCATCCAACACTGCTTTCCGCTGAAGCCCATTGTAGGCAGGGGTCGTTCGCCGGCTCAACTTTGGATGCTGTGTTCTTAGCTCTGAGTGAGGGGTGCATGCCAACTTGCGATATCAGGTCAAGCACAGATGATCGACATGACATGAGCCAACGGCTTGATTTGTAGGCGAGGGTTTCTCCCAACGACCAGCCCCTGGGTCCGGCAGGGGTTTCGACTTCTTTTTGGGCTCGAGTCATATCCTATCTGCGTGCCCATGGACTATGGCGGGGACTTCAAACGCGTTGTGCACAAGCGCCGATAGACATGTGCATGGTCGATCCGTCGCCGTCAGGCTATGCGCTGGTTTTCTCCTCCCTATAAAAATCATGTTGTTCTCCTAAGCTGTCGCGTCGATCCCCCTCCCAGTTGAACCCTTTGTCCCACTGCCCTCCCTAACCACGTCCCTACCCTAAACTGCACGGGCCCAATGGGTACAGCAGGCCAATAAGCCATCCTGTCACCCTGCCCTGTCACCCTGTGCTTGTGCTTGTGTGTGTGCACGCATGAGGTTCTTGTTAGCAACAACTCTCTCTCTCTAAATCTCTCTAAATCTTTCTCTCTGTCTCGAAATCTCTGCTCTGTCTCTGTCTCTGTCTCTGTCTCTGTCTCTGTCTCTGTCTCTGTCTCTGTCTCTGTCTCTGTCTCTGTCTCTGTCTCTGTCTCTGTCTCTGTCTCTGTCTCTGTCTCTGTCTCTGTCTCTGTCTCTGTCTCTGTCTCTGTCTCTGTCTCTCTCTCTGTCTCTGTCTCTGTCTCTGTCTCTGTCTCTCTGTCTCTGTCTCTGTCTCTCTGTCTCTGTCTCTGTCTCTCTGTCTCTGTCTCTGTCTCTGTCTCTGTCTCTGTCTCTGTCTCTGTCTCTGTCTCTGTCTCTCTCTCTCTCTCTCTCTCTCTCTCTCTCTCTCTCTCTCTCTCACT